CGAATAGACATTTTTCAAAAGAAGACATACAAACTGCCAACAGTTATATGAAAAAAATGCTCAATATCACTAAGCATCAGAGAAATGCAAATTAAAACCATAATGAGATATCACCTTACCCCAGTCAGAATGGTTATTATTAAAAGACGGAAAAAAAAAAAAAATTAACAAACGTTAGTGAAGATGGAGAAAAGGGAACTTTTTAATTCACTGTTGTTGTGAATATAAATTCATACAGCCACTATGGAAAACAGTATGGTGATTTCTCAAAGAACTAAAAAAGAACCACCAATTGATCCAGCAATCCCACTATTGGTATCTACCCAAAGCAAAAGAAATCAACATAACAAAAACATACCTGCCCTCATATGTTTATCATAGCATTTATTCACATTAGCAAAGATATGGAATCAGCTTAAGTGTTCCTCAACAGATGAATGGATAAAGAAAATGTGGTCTATATACATAACGAGATACTATTCAGCCATAAACAAAGAACAAAATCGTATCTTTTGAAGCACCATGGATATAACTGAAGATCATTATCTTTAGTGAAGCAAGCTAGGCACAGAAAGTCAAATAGTGCACATTCTCATAAGTGGGTGCTAAAAATGTGTACACCAGCATGTAGAGAGTGAAATGATAGAAATTGGAGACTCGGAAGAATTGGGGAGTGGGGGCAGATGATGAGAAATTACTTAATGGGTACAATGTATGTTAATCAAGTGATGGATACTCTAAAGGCCCTAACTTGACCACTATTCAATCTATACATGTAAGTAAATTGCACTTATACCCCATAAAATTGTACCAAAAAAATCGTTGTCTGGGGCATTGATGTTACCTGATATTGTGACTGCCATAAAAAGTACTGAGAGAAGTATAAAGCAACTGACATTGCATATACTCTTTTCAGTATCCCTGTCCAACAGATGATCACAAGCGTTGTGTCTTATATGGAATGGGTGGCACTACACCTTTAATATACTTCCACAAACCATGATCTAGGAAAAGTCCTGCTCCTATTAACATTTCGCTATATTGATGACTTTTTCATGGTAGGCTGACAAGCCTACCCAAAAAGAGCTGGATGCCGTGTTGACCCACATGCAGCAACATGGCTGGGCCATTAACACATAAAAAGTACCAAGACCTTGTACCCAAGTAGAATCCCTGGGAGTAAGCTGGAAGTGGGCAACACATCAGATTCCAGAGAAGTTAACTCCCAAACTATGGTCCTTCTCAATTCCAACAAATACAAAAGAGGCCAATTTGTGGGCCTCTTCTGCTAACGGCACTCTCACATTCTTTTCAATGAGATTCTGACTGCAACCATCTATTAAGTTACCAAAAAGACCTCTACCTTGGAGGAGGTCTCAACCAACAGGATGCCCTAGAGGCCCTCCAATGCCTTCCCAGGCCACTCTTTCCTTTGGCCCCTCTGAGCAACATTTAAGTTACAGTTTTCAGGGACATTTCTGTTCACCAGTAGATATCCATGGAGGAAGATCAGTGGACTGAATTGAGCTTTTGGAACCACAGCTTTCTAGAGTTGGATGAAAGGTACACACCCTTTGAAAATTAATTATTGGCCTTGGTGAATACTAAACACATGGTCATGATTACAAAATAGTGTTACAACCAGAAATACTAACCAAAAATAATGATTTAAAAAAACGCAACTTTTAGAGGAAGATATTAAATGCTTCCAACACAAAGAAATGATCAATGTTTGAGATTATGGATATGCTAATTACCCTGATCTGATCAGTATACATTATATGTAACAAAGCAATACTATGTACCCCATGAATATGTACAATTATTGTCAACTTTTAAAGTATGAAAAAAAAAATGTTTCTGAGGGGATCAGCTAGCAGGTGGAACAGGCAACTGCTTAGGAGGCCAATGCTTTCTGCAAGTGGTTCCCACAGGCCTATGTAGAGGTTGGTAGCCCCAGTGAATGCCAGTCAACTTCAAGAAAAAAGTAGAAATTACCTCCGACTGCAGTAAAGCAAAAATTCAGTGACTTCCCAGAATGCAAATCAGGGCATTCCCATTCAGGAAGGAGTTGGGATCTAAATATCAGTGTTATAGGCTGAAAAAAGGCCATTTTGGTTATATTAAAATAGTCATTTAGAAAAATCTTAAAAGCTTGTATTCTTTTGTAGCTGAGTTGGGTTAAATGTAAAAGCTGCCTGATTCAAAAGTGTACATTTTCCTACCCCGTTCCCTCCTAGCACAACCTTGCCCAATTCGCTGATCTTATTTAGTAAGCCATTCCTGGTGCTAAAGAAGAAACAGCCACCTAATAATTAGGAGAGCGGTCCAAGGCCTACAGAAGTGCATCTGAAAGCTTGGAGTGGGCATTGCCCACCTCCTCTCCATCTGTGAATACAAGGACATTGGTCTGTTATAGGTCAGAGCTCTGGGAATAAAATATTGTTACAATTATGTTTTAAAACAATTTAAAGTTATCATCTCAAATATTAAGAGTTTCCCTTCCTTCCAAATATTACAATTGTCTGCCCCTTGCTCTAAAAAAACATATTGTAAATTCCAAAATGTTATCTAAAATCTCAGCATGAACAGGAGACTTTGTGTCACATCAGTGGTCATCAAAAATTTGTAAATCTTAAATCATGCTAAAACCATGTAGACTTCAAACTCAGAGTGGGGGTTGAGCTATGAATTTTGGGCATAAATACTGGAATGAATTTGTGTTGCTCTGAGTGGGCTTTTTGGCAATGATGCTGACCCATCTTGCTATATCCTGGTTATAGAAATTAAACACTCTCCTTTCTTTCAGTCTCTGCCTTCCATATTTGTTAGGGTATGGATAGGGTGAGGGTGGAGGTGTGGATAGAGAGGCGAGGGGAGGTGCAGCACTGCTGGAGCCGGCATGCCGAAGCTGTGCACGGATAACTCAGAGATCCAAGTAATGCAAAGAAATGCAACACACAAAGAGGTGAAAAGGAAAAGATTTATTTAAGAAATGTTCACTTACCACAGACATTAAGTGGGCCTATACTCTAGATGAGTGTGGCCCCATAGCCCCCTCGAGTTCTGGCTTAAATCCTTGTCCTTGGGGATGTTGCAGTCAGGTAGACGTGACTGCTGTGACTTCCTTATCGACCACCTGCAAATGTTTTGGAGACCCTGTGACACACAGACCCATTAATGTCTGTCCATATTATCATAGCTCCAGAGAAGGGCATGACAAGGATTCTAGTGCTCCTGTACCGTCCCAAACAACATTCCTTAGAGCTAACGGAGTGTGCACTTCCCCTTATCTCCTATGCATTCCCAGTGGGTAGCTTCAGGGAATCCTTGGCTTCCCTGTAGATAGTGCCCAATCTACTGGAAGATGGAATCCCCACCTGCTCCCCCTGAGCAGTCATAACTTTTGTAATTACAAGTTTCCTGACTTCTACAATCGTTGCCCATGCATGAAGTTTTAGGCCTTATAAATTCCCTTTACTCTGGGCAAGCTTGATTGCCACTATGAGATACCTCTGGCATCAGGAAGCCTGTTTCTGAAAAGACAAAGTCGGCAAAGTTAATCTTTACCTAAAGTATGCATTTCTCCAAAACATAGCTTCAACTTTCTCATCATTGTGTCAGGGTTTAAGAACAAGAAAAAAAAAAAGGTTTCGTGCTTCCAGTCTGTTCTTTCAATATTTTAATTGGCTGTGAGGGAGAGCAGTCAGTTTATTGGATCAGGCTATAACACCACGGCCTTGATGAAGATGAGATCCTAGGGAATCTTTCAGAAATAGAATTGAAACAACTGGAAACTGTTCTGGATCATCTTGACCCTGAGAACACCTTCCTTCTTGCAGGGTTCTGGCAAAATAACTAGATATTAAAGTCTGTCATGGAGTCATTTTTATATCTGGAGGGGGAAGCATTGGAGCATAAAGACAGAAAAGACTATGTGCCCTAGTCCTTTTCCCACTGGAGGTAAAAAAGGGAAAGTATTTATCACCAAATGGAAAATTGAACACACTTTTACCAAAAAAAGTATCTCTTGATCTAGAGTTGGAAGAAGTTTTGGCAAGTGTTTCTGATACAAAACTGCTATCCCTGAGGTGCATAATTCGGTAAGAGACACACAGGTCTATTAATACAGTGGGAAGTAGTAATGGTGTTGGCCAAGACATTATTCAAATGTGGTAAAAGGCGAAAAGCCACCAAATCCAACCAACGTTAAAGAGCGTTTAAAGGAATGAAAGAAAACGATGCTTGTCTTGTTGAAGTTAATTTGAATAACAAATAATCATTCAATTCCAACCCTAAAAGATTTTGTGAAGCCTTTGAAAACCAAGACACATGTAACATAACTGTCTTGCAGACACCCGGAGCAACACTTGTTGCTGCTGCTTTCTGCAGATAAAAGTTAAAAAACTTAATCATCCTGCCTCCATTTATCAAGAGTAAAAACTACAACTTACACTTGTAGATGGAAAGGTTAACGGAATTATCACAAGAAAAATACGAGAAGTTCGGAGTCCTCTGCCACATATCTCAGTCATTTTGTTGGTCATAACTGATTATAGCTCTGCAAGCCCGCCTCGCGCCGCCCCCCCCCAGACCCGCAACCTGAGCGCTCCCTTCTTCCTCGGCCGGACTCCCGCCCCCACTGCGCGCCCTCTTCCCTGGGCCGAACTCCAGCCCTCTCTGCGCCCCTCCTCTCCCTGCCAAACTCTCGCTCTACGCCCCTGGATGGGACCGCTCACGCCGAGCCCCCTAGCGGCTGACCTAACCGGTGCGTCGCGGCCGAGCCTCCACACAAGGGGGCGCTGGGCTCACAGCTCGCTCGGTTACGGGAGACGGAACCGTGAAATACGCCTGCGCGGGACGCCAATTCCTAGCGCGAAGTTTCCGTGGACGGCCAGCGCGTATTGCGCCTGCGCGGGTCCGGGGTGGTGGCTCGGCTTTTGCGCCTGCGTAGAGCTCCGGGCCCTGGGCGGGGCCTTCTCAGTGGCCGGCCTGCGCACACTGCGCCTGCGCGGCTGGAGGGCGGTGGCTCAGGCTCTTGAAAGGGTCGGTCTGCTCCTCCGCGCCGGCGGTGTGGCCGCAAAGCCGGCGGACAAACGGGACTGAGGTAGGTTTTCTGATAGGCAGCTCAGGCGGCTGGACGGCACGTAAAGGAGGACATGCCAGGTGAGGGGTGCTCGCCCTCCACGTGCGTTGCTGGCTGACAGAGGCCTCCGCCCCCTTTCGGGACCTCAGAGCACCTTCTCGGTCCCGGCTCCTTGCTCTGGCGTCTGACCAAGAGCTCGGCTCTGCCATGCCCCTTCCTCACCGTCGAGCCCCTTTCCTACCCGGCCCCACGCCCCTTTGCCAGCATCGCGCCCTTTCTTCGCCCAGCGCCACGACTTTCCTGGGCGATGCCCGCCCATCGCCGGCGTTTAGCTGTTCCCTAGCCACGCCCGCGGCTAAAACCACGCCCTCTACGTCCACCCTATGCTTGTGTATGCAGCCACACCCCTTTATTCCAGGTCACGCCCCTCTCAGTGTCACACCCACTTCGGCCGCTTAGTCCTTTCATCCCCTCCTTAACCCACCTCTTGCTCCCCCATCAAGTGGCTCCTTCGTTTCCCCTCCTCCTCCTCACCCCAGTCATTGGTCACTTGCTCCCCCATGGCCCTGGTTCTCCCAAGGGTACCTTAGGTGGGCCCTAACCAGCCCCACCCTCATCACACCCTGAACCCAGATTTTCCAGTGAAAATATAGTATATGCAAATTAAGTAGTTGTAATTACAAATGTCTCAAAAATAAGTATCGGATTCAGATTGAGTAGCGAAGCTTGTGTTTTCAACAAAGAATTGCTGTTGAAAAAACACATTCATCCCAGAGCATAGTGCGGATTACAGTGTCACTGAAAAAATAAGAATGGAGGAGAAGACTGTGGAAGATGCAGACCTTGGTTCCAGTTAGTGGAAACACTGTAAAGTCCCAGGTAGGGAATTTTAATTGGGGTTAAAGCTATCATATTTCTAAGAAAAAATTTGACGTCTATTTACTGCTTTAAATCAACACTATGATCTAACAGAAACTAACAGCTTCAACAAATGAATAAGGTTAACACTTTGCGACTAGTGAAGAAAACACATGCTATTTGAAGTTTATAACTTTTAAATGTCTGTGCAAAGAACTGTGATTATAATTTTCATTTCTAGACCATTCTTCACACATAGATATTTTACTTACATTTACTAAAGGACCTTTATTATGGATCTTAGAAGTTAAGTGGACTTAATTACTAAACAATTTAACAGGCATTGTATGTTTCTCTTTTTTAAAGTAGAAATGGAGGAGAAAATGAAATAATGCAGCAGTGATAAGGCAGAACTTATAAGAACTATGGCAACATCAAGTGACTGTCCCAGAAGTGAATCACAGGTAATTTTGGTTCTGGGATGTAAGAACCTGTGTTTCGTGAATGTGAACATTATAGAGAGCTAAGTGTCAACTCACAAATGTGATGGAACTTGACTTTTGCCTTTGTAGATGACCACCAGCAGTAGGATGTTTGAATTTAAAGAATGCTGAGGCAGAGGAAATGCAGTATTTGTAAGACAACATTCTGAATTGGGCATTGTAAGCACTTCCAGGGAAATACTTAGGAGCCCCAAAATATCATCATCTAGGGTTCTATGGTACCTGGAATAGGCAAGAAAGTCAATTTTCTTAGCTGTTTAATAACGTTTCAGGCATAATACTAATACTAATATGTTGAAGACAAGTTTGACACATTAGAAAAGATTCATGTGTTCATATTATTTTTTTCTCCCTGGGTTACTCATATAGTTCCATTCAAGTTAGGAGTAAAAAAAGTTTACCTTAGATCTTAAAGAACGTTGATTATGTAAAATTAACGAAATGAATACTTTAATAAATAATGTTTTAAAAAATAATACATTTTCATGTCTGATGTCAGTTTCAACATTTTCTTTTTTTTTTCCCTTTCATTCTTATGATTGTTCTGCTTTCATTTGGGTTTTTATATATAAGAATTTTATTTATAGTTGGCTTATTTCATTAATGTTTTTTCAATTAGTCGTAAAATGTTTTAATTCCATGGGTGTCTTATTTTTCTTTTGATAAATTTTAAAAGTATTAGGATATTTACAGAATAATATTGTAAATATCAAGTACATTTTATGTAGAGTTGAAAACTTGCTAACATTGTCATACTTGCTTCAGAATATATATGTATGGGTATATATATAAAATAGATATGTATTCGGAGTTGCCAAAAATATATACACATTTAAGGGATGTATTACTTTTAGAAGTTGAATTAAATTATGGTAGCAATGTGTAGTATGATGTTCTCTCAACTGTACTTCCGCCATTTTCCTGTCCTGCCTATTGCATGGTGACACTAGCATTCATTTGATTAATGCCATCTTTTGAGTGAAAACATCATAGTTAATATGTGTATACATTTTTTTTGGAACCCCTGTATATGTAATAACACTGTTGGGTGCATTTGTAGTCCCAGCTGCTTGGGAGGCTGAGGTGGGAGAATCACTTGAGGTCAGGAGTTTGAGGATGTAGCATGCTATGATTGTGCCTATGAATAGCCACTGTTCTCCAGCCTGGACAACATAGAAAGACCCTATCTCTTAAAAAAAAGAATGACATCTCAGTCCTATTCCTCTTCTTCTCTCTCCAGAGACATACACTATTGTTAATTATTAATTCAATGTGTGCTACTGCACCATTTTTAATACTTTTATAGACATTTATAGACATATTCTTGAACATGTGATATTGTTTGTGCTTTTTAGACTTTACATAAGTGGTCCCGCCCCGCAAGGGTTGTGAGATTTCCTGAAGGAGAGACGGATAGGCGAAAGATGAAAACATTATACTCGGACACCTGCTTCCTGAACAGATGACAATTTGATGTTAGCTAAGGGAAAGCTTTTATACCATTTGTAAAGGGGCAAGACAAAGAAAATTCCTTCACGTACATATCCTCTACAAGTTACCACCATCTAGTGGTCTTAGCAATAAACAAGCCAAGAACCCTGTAAACATTCAGATAATGAGTCTTATTCATAAGGTCAAAGATGATAGTTTTAGTCCAAAGTCCCAAATTACAGTCCTTGAACTGTCTCCAGGAAGTTTAGCAGTAGTCTTCCTTCTGGGGCTTTATGGCCTTCAGAGTTCTGTAATCGCCTTTCTTGTCCAGGCGTCTTCGTTACTTTTCTCTTATCCTGCAGTGCTTGTTTCTAAAGAAAACTCAAAAGAAGCTTTTAGTAATGTTTCCCAGGCCCCCAAGGTTGCTTTCTGTCTTTAGCTAAGTTATCATAAAAGTATCTGATTAGTATATTATGAGTTCAGTGAAAACCCACTCTATAAATATTAACTTAGAGTTTTAACTATTGAATTAAGTAAAAACCTTAACATTAATCTTTATCCTAAATCAGTGAAAAGTGTTATAAATCACCTACATAAGTGTTAGAACTTATAATGAGCTCATAATGAACTTACCATAAACTTGTACTTCTAAAAAAACCTTATGTCTAAACACTAAGCTGCATAATTCTAAATCAAATAAGGAGTGAATATACTTATATCATTTTTTACTCAAGCAATATCTAGTAGCTTATAACCAAGTGAAAGAAAGCATTCTTGATGTGCTTCAGAGTTTAACCCTTGCATATGTTAGAAAAGGCCAAGCGGCATAGTGGGAAAATGGGAAAATGAACCATGCCATTTCCAGGTTAGCTGTGATTCTTCGCATAAACATACCATCTTCTTCCACGACTGCACAGAATTTCTTCAGCTGTACCAACAGCAAAGACGGAAGACAGAAGGGCCTCAGCTGCCCGGACTCGCTTTGCGGCCGGGGGTCCTCAGCGCACCTGGACTTTGTCAATCAGGCAGGCCTCCAAGGCTGGCTCCCAACACCTTTATAGACATTTATAGACATATTCTTGAACATGTGATGTTGTTTGTGCTTTTTAGACTTTACATAAATGGTGTCATACTTATGTGTCACCTGTAGCTTGCCTTTTTCAATTAGCATTTTCTTTGGGGGATTTGTCTTTGTTGATATGTGTGTAGTGCTAGTTCTTGTCCTACCACTGTAGGGTACTCCTGCAGCATGTACCTTCTGTAAAAGTGTCTTATTCGCAGACAGGTATCTAGGTCTGTTGCAGTCTCACTACAATACAGTAAGCATATACCCCATTTTATTCATCTTTTATGGGACCATTAATTCGTTTCTACTTTTCTCTATTTCAGACATTCTTTTCCATGCTTCTGTGCTCCAGTAATGGCATTGCAGAGTGGAAGGCATTGCATAGTTTCAGTTTTGCTAAATAATAGTCAGTTCTCACATTGACTTTACCAGTTCACAGTTCTGCCAATAGCCAATGATAGTACTTGCTAACACTTAAGAGCTTCAGAGTTTTAAATTTGGTTGTTCTGATAGGTTAGAAATGGGATCTTGTTATTTTAATTCTTCCAGTTACTTGTAAATCATGGTAGCATTTTGATAATACTTGTGTTCATTCTAATATCATGCTCCATTATAAAAGGCATGTCTGATATTGGTAATTTGTGTTACCTTCCCCCCCCATGGTCTTTTTAGGGTTTTATCAGTTTTATCTTTTTTTTTTTTTAGTTTTATCTTTTTAAAGAACCAATTTTGTCTTTATTTTCTCTGTTCTATTTTGCTGACTTCTGCTTTTGTTATATTTCCTTCATTTTATTCAATTTGGGTTAATTTTCTTTTTGTAGCATCTTGAGATGGACACTTAGATCAATTGACTTTAAAACTTTATTCTCTAATATGTGTCTTTAAAGCTATAACTTTTCATCTAATCATGCTTTAGCTGTACCTCACTTACGGAAATTAGAAATTTTCTGGGCTATTTGAAAGTATGTTGATTAATTTCCAAACATGGGAAATTTTATTTTTTGTTATTTAATTTTGGTTTGATTACATTGGTTTGAGAACATACTGTGCTCATAATTTCATTCCTTTGAAGTATATTTAGATCTGCTTTATGGCCTAGTCATATGGGCTCTTTTGCTGAATGTTCCATAAGTACTTGCAAAGACTATGCATTCTGCAGTTGTTGGGTGTAGTGTTCTATAATTATCATTAAGGTCAAATGGGTTATTAGTATTGTTCAAATCTCTATATCTTTTCTGATTTTTTTCATGTACTTGTTCTATCAATTACTAATAATTCTCCACTATGATTGTGAGTTTGTCTATTTTTCCTTTTGGTTCTGTCACCTTTTGCTTTATATATTTTGAATACTTGTTGTCAGGTGCATATATGCAGTATAATTTTTGTTATCTAGGTTAATTCTTATTTTTATGTGCTATCACTCTTTTTAGCCTGTTAATAAATAATTCTTTTCTTGTAGCTACATTTTCTTATGTTAATATAGTTGTACCAGCTTTCTTATGCTTAGTGTTTGTATGGAATGTGTGTGTGTGTGTGTGTGTGTGTGTGTGTGTGTGTGTGTGTGTAATTTTCCCCTCAACTTGTCTTAAGTCTTTGTATTTAAAGCATTTCTCTTGTAAAGAGCTAGCTGAGTCTAGCTCTTGGGTCTGTTTTTTTCTGTTACACAATTTCTGTCTTTTAATTGGGATACCTAATCTATTAACATTTAATGTAATAACTGATATAATTAAGTCTAACATATTACTGTTTGTTTTATATTTGTTACATTTCTTCTTTGTATACTTCTCCATTTCTGCTCTCTTTTGGATTAATAGGGTATCTTCTGTGAGTCCACATTATCTCCACTATTGGCTTGTTAGCTGTATCGTTTATATTATTATAATTTCCCAAAAAACTGCAATATGCATCCTAAACCTTTTTTTAACTATTTCATAATGTAAATATCCTACAAGTTATTTTCATTTATCAGCTTTCATATTTTTGTGCTATTGTTGCAATATATTTTAATTCTACGTGTTAAAAATCCCATAACAAATTATTAATATTGTTATTGGTTTATACTATCAGAAGTCTTTTTTATAAAGTATAAGAATGTCTTTTATATTTCCCTATATATGTACCTTTTCTGCGGTCTTTCCATTTTTACTGCATTCTGTGTTTTCATGTGTTTCATGTGTTTTTATGCCTTCAACTTGAACAACTTATTTTTTGTATTTAGTAGTGTGGGTCTGCTTTGCCAAACTGTCAACTATGGTTTGAATGAAATGTGTTTTCCCTATTTTTTTGAAGAGTATTTTAGCTTGATACTGGGATTTTAGGTTTATGAGTTTTTTCCTTTCATGCATTAAAGATGTCATTTTATTGTCTTCTGGCTTCCATTGTTTCTGATGAGAAGTCAGCTGTATTTTACTGTTGTTCTACTAAATGTAGTGTATTCTTTTCCCCTTGTGACTACATTTAAGATTTTCTCCTTTTTTGGAAGGGGCTTGGTTTAAGCAGTTTTCTTTGTATTTATCGTGCTTTGGAGTTAGTTGAGCTCCTTAAAGCAGAGGTTTTTTTGTTGTTTGTTTGAGTCAGAGTCTCACTTTGTTGCCCAGGCTGGAGTGTAGTGGCACTCTCACAGCCACCTCAGCATCGACCTCCTGGGCTCAGGCGATCCTTCTGCCTCAGCCTTCTAAGTAGCTGGAACTACAGACACGTGCTACCACGCCTGGCTAATTTATTTTTAATTTTTGTTTATTTTTTTATTGTGGAGATGAGGTCTCACCAAGTTGCCTGGGCTGGTCTCGAACCCTCTGGGCTCAGGCAATCCTTTTGCCTTGGCTTCCCAAAAGGATTATAGGCCTGAGCCACCATAGATGGTTTTTTGTTAAATTTTTTTCTTTTTTTTTTTTTAGTTGTAATATTACTCTGTTCCCCAGGCTGTAGTGCAGTGGCATGATCATGGCTACCACAACCTCAACCTGCTGGGCTCAGGCAATCCTTATGTCTCAGCCTTATAGGTAACTGTACTACAGGCGGACACCATCACATCCAGCTAATCTTTTTATTTATTGTAGAGATGAGACTTTGTCATGTTGTCCAGGCTGGCCTCCAAATACTGGGCTCAGGCAATCCTTTCGCCTCTGCCTCCTACAGTACTGCAATTACAGGTGTAAGCCACCTTGCCCAGCTGTTAATTTTGGAAAACTTTCTACCATTATCGCTTAAAGTGATTTCTTCTGCCTCATCATCTCTTCCTCTGTTTTTTTGGGTCTCCACTTACACATATGTTAGATTTTTTGCTGTTGTCTCACGTGCCATACTCTATTCTCATTTTTTCATTCTTTTTTCGTTTTGTGCTTCAGTTTGGATAATTTCTATTGACCTGACTCAGAGTTTACTGATTCTAAACAAAATAACTGGAAAACAATATATGTGCAAAAAAGTTTTCTCAAAGTCTCAGATAAGATCTGTATTATACAAAGAGTTGTGATCTGACAAGTAGAAGGCAAACAATCAACGAGAATCATGGGCAAAATCAATGAAGAGAGAGACAGTTTAAGGAAGAGCAGGTCCAAGCAGCCAAAAAACATGAAAACATGATAGAATTGAGATGCCACTCTACACCTATCACTGTGGCAAACCCCATGGTCCTTTTCTTGGCTTTGAGCAGGAAGAAGAGTCTGTTCTGCTTAGTGGAGAGGGGCTTGTACAGGAGGAAGCACAACCCGAGGAGTTCGTGGCCATCGCAGACTATGCTGCCACCGATGAGACCCAGGTAGCTGTGCAGTGGGCCATGCTCTTTGGGTTTCAACATGTTCAGTGGCAAAATGAGATTAGAATTTTGCAGAAGTCATACCAAGGTTAAATAAAGAGATATTCAGATATTTAGAACTACAAAAAGCCTGTGCGTGACCTTCACTTCCCAGCCTAACCCCTCCTGAGCTGCAGGCATGGTACATATATATCTGGGATGCGTCATCCATGGAAGGAGCACTTGTTCCCATGTCTGTTTGGAAACCTTGACTTAGAACCTACCTTGTCAATGAAAAGTGAGGCTACCAAATAAAAATGTCTGCTTGAATACAGCTTTCTTTACTTTGTGACTGGAATTTTTTAGAGTTAGCTTCTAGTCACTGAATTGCTATAGCATAGCTGAGTTAGGCAAAGAGGCTGTTGAGAAATTCTTCCCTAAGCCATCTAAAAATGGCGTGCTCTTCCTTTTTGCCAATTATCAGATAAACTGTACCCTTTTCCAGATCTATGTTCTATAAAAATCTCTGAATCCTGGTATCTCATAAGCTGTCAGTTGCTGTAACTTCCCATACTTACTCCTTTGTGAAATCACTGTGACTTGGCCACTGATATTAATGACTGGTAACTGAGCCACACTTGAAATGCCAATGACTGATTTTCCCACTGAGTTTCAACTTTTCCTTTTTTTTTTCCAGCTCAGTTTTTTGAGGGGAGAAAAAATTCTTATCCTGAGACAAACCACCGCAGATTGGTGGTGGGGCGAGCGTGCGGGCTGCTGTGGGTACATCCCAGCGAACCACGTGGGGAAGCAGATGGACGAGTATGACCCTGAAGACACATGGCAGGACGAAGAGTACTTCGGCAGCTATGGGACCCTGGTACTGTTTTCTGCGTTCCCTATTCAGCTGTCCTGTGGTAGATTCTTTCCCCTGGTCTTAGGGTTACCACATTGTTTAGAGTAGTCCTGCAAATATACCCATCCATGCAGCATGCCTAGGATGCTGTGACTACTCAGCTCTGCTGTGGTCTTTGGAAGCCGCTGTGGATGACACATACATGTGTTCTGATAAAACTTTACGTATAGACCCTGAAGTTTGAATTCCATACAACTGTCATGGGGCACAAAATATTCTTCTTTTGTTTCTAAAAATCATTTTAAAGTTAAAATCCATTTTTAATTTGGAGGCCATTCGAATGCAGGTTGGTGGGCTAGATGGCCCATGAGCTGCAGTTCACTGAACCCTGGTTTAGAGAAGTTATTTGACCGATGGGATTATGGGTGTGCTTCTCTCAGTATTTAAAAAAAGTAACAAATTTTACTTTAAAAACGAAATCAAAAAAATTATATAAGCCGGGCTCAGTGGCCCAGCCTGTAATCCCACACCTTGGGAGGCTGAGGAGAGACCTGCCTGGGCAACTTGGCAAGACCTCATCTCTACAATAAGTAAAAAATTAGCCGGGCATGGGAGCGCGCGCCTGTAGTTCCAGCTACTTGGAAGGCTGAGGCGGCAGGATCGCCGGCGCCCAGCAAGTTGAGGCTGCAGTGGCCAGGAGCGGCCACTGCACTCCAGTCTGGGCGACAGAGTGAGACTCCAACTCAAAAAAAAAAAAAATCTATAAATCAGTGAACAATAATACTTCTAAACAGCTAGCTTATTAAAAATTTTTTCCCACTATGGAGAAATGCCTATAATCCTATGGTCCAGGCAACAGTCCCTGTGTACATTTTAAAGCTAGGTAAAAACAGTTACTTTTGGGATGAATGTTACAAAAATAATGTTGAGTGAAAGAAGGAGTAGGACAAAGAATATATAAATTTGACTCAATTATGTGAAGTTAAAAGGCAATGTTTTTAAAAGGCCATGTGTATGAACGTGCTTAAGTGCTGAGATTCTAACTTGGCAAGGAGCTGGCTCCCCTGGGCGTTGGGATGGAGGTGATCTGCTAGAGTGAAGCTGTGAGTAGTGCGACAGGGCCAGGATGCTGGCAGTGTTCTGGGGTTGGGTACGTAGGTGTTTGCTATATAACTGTGTTTGATAAACCATACAGATATTTTGTAATGCACCTTTTGTAGGTGTGCTGTATTTTGCAACGGTGGTAAATTAAAAACCACTCATGTGTGTACATGGTTAGTACTTTTGATCCATTAAGAAAGGATACATAATGAAAGGCCAGCACCTACATCCCTGCTCTGCCACCTAACCCAAAGAGTCACTGCCCACTGGGTTCCTCTGTGCTTATGTCAATCTAAACAACAACTGTTTTATTTTTTAAAATCTAAAGCAAAGGCATCATTGCACACCCACAGGTCTTCACCTTGCTCTTTTCTTGTTGCTCGTTATTTTAAAGATCTCCCACATTGACACTTGTTTATAACAGCTACAGAGCATTGTAAAAGAGTCATGTTGATGGACAGTGATTGTTGAGCAGTTTTGTTTTTATCATGACAATAATGCTGTGATGGCATCTTATGCCATCCTATTAAACACTTGTTAGAATTTTCAGAGGGTACATTCCTACAGTGTACATGTGCAGATATTATACACACACACACACACACACACACACACACACACACACACACACACACACAGAGTTTCCTTTCACGGATCTTGTCTTGGTCTGTTTGTGCTGCTGTAACATCTCTCAATACCTTCATGTTGGCAATTCAGTTTTAACACCTCAATTTGGGGAGATATTTGGGACTACACACACTTATCAGCAGTATATAAATGGTCATTTCCCATCACAAATTGTCAGAGTGAAAAAGACTTCCAGTCTTTTTTTTTTTTTGGGTTGGAGTCTCACTCTATTGCCCAGACTGGAGTGCAGTGGCCACTCCCGGCCACTGCAGCCTCGACCTGCTGGGCTCCGGTGATCCTTCCGCCTCAGCCTTCCGAGTAGCTGGAACTACAGGCGCGCGCTACCACACCCGGCCCATTTTGATTTATTGTAGAGATGAGGTATCGCCAAGTTGCCCAGGTGGGTCTCGAACCCAACAATCCACTCACCTCAGCCTCCCAAAGGCGCGGGATTACAGGCTGAGCCACCGAGCCCAGCTAAGACTTCCAGTCTTAAAGGACAAATATGGTACCTCTTGATTTTGAGTTCCATTTTTTAAAAAGTGACATTGATCATCTTTTATATGTTTATTGGCCTTTTGTATTTCTTCCTTTTTTTGTTAAACTTTCATGTCATTTGTTCATGTTTCTTTTGATTTGTATATTAAGTAAATAGTTTAGCCTGAATTTGTGATATGTTTTACAGTTCTCACTTGCCACTCTTTTCCCCCCACATAGAACTTTTTTTTTTTGAGTTGGAGTCTCACTCTGGTCTCACTCGCCCAGACTGTAGTGCAGTGGCCGCTCCCGGCCACCGCAGCCTCGCCTACTGGGCTCTGGCGATCCTTCCCCCTCAGCCTTCCAAGTAGCTGGAATTACAGGCGCACGTTATCACACCCGGCTAATTTTTTGATTTATTGTAGAGATGAGGTCTCGCCAAGTTGCCCAGGCGGGTCTTGAACCGGCGGGTTCAGGCAATCCACTCACCTCAGCCTCCCAAAGCGCTGGGATTACAGGCGGAGCCACTGAGCCCATCCAGAACTTTTTATCTTTGTGTAGTCCAACATGTTTTTCTTTGTGACTTCAAAGTGGGTTTTGTGTCCCACTTTGAAAGACCCGCCTCACTTTAAGGTCATAAATATCCATACTTTCTTTCAGAACTGTTATGATCCTATCTTAAATAATGCAATACTTAAATCCATCTGGAATTTATTTGTTGTAAAGAATAAGGTAAAAGTCCACCTAATTTACCCCCACAAATGTCCAGCTATCCCAGCCTCAGTTATGGGGCATTTCTCATCTCCTATTGATGTGAAATTCATCCATGTTCCCCTACACTGAATTTGAGGGTCTGCTTCTGGAATCTGTTTCATGGTCTGCATATTTCTTTTGCAGTTCCCAACTCTTTTCACCATCACACTTTTGCAGGATCTGTGAGAGCTAGGTCTCCAGCAGGTGTTGTTTTTTTCTAAGCATTTTCCTGGCTAGCCTTGAGTGTTTTGAAACTAATTTTATTATTATTTTGTTGTACTCCCCTTTGTCAAATAAGCTGGCATTTAGTACGTACTACATGGAATATGTATGTTAATTTAGGAAGAAGTGACATCTCTATAATATTAGCTCTTACAGAGAGAAGCGACATCTCTGTATAGCGTCTACTCTCACAGGGAGAAGTGACATCTCTGTAACATCTATTTTCACAGGGAGAAGTGACATCTTTGTAACATTGACTCTAACAGTGAGAGGTGACATCTCTATAACATCTACTCTTGCTCTCTTACTTAAGCTTTGTTTTGTTGTCTCTTAGAATTTTAAGGTTTTCTTGTTAAATCTTGTTGAATTTATTCCTGTGTATTTTTTGGTTATTACTGCTATTTTAAGGGATTGGGCAAAGTGTTCTAAAGCTAATGAGGCTAACTTGTTTGATAGGGATGTACAGACCTTCTGTGACCTCACTCATTTTCTCTCTGCTTCTATAATTACTGAGAGGAGGAAGGTGTTGAAATCTCTGACCATAATTGCAAATGTGCCTATTTCTTTTTGCATTTCTACTGGTGTTTACTCTGTATTTTGAAGATCTGTTATTATTAAAATATTTAAAAATATTTAGAGGATTGATTCCTATGTTATTGTGAACTGATCTTCATCCCTGGGAATATCCTTTGCTCTGACATGTGTTTTTCTGGTGTTAATGCAGCTCCTCCAACTTCTTATTTGTGTTAGCATTGTATACCTTTTGCATCCTTTGCTTGTGGACAGGATGGTAGGGCCCTGCCTGTTTGTCCACTCCTCCCACATGATCCTTTGTTTTTCATTGTATGGTGTCTGCGAGGCACTACAGTGGGCTCTGGAGGTGGCATTTGGTCTCCTGTTTGTGCAGGTATGGTCTAGGGATCATTCTTGGCTCTGCCCTCACCTGCTGCTGCTTCCTCCAGTGACACTGTTGTAAGCTGTTCTGCAGCTTGAGAGTGCTGGGGAGGGTGCAGCCTCTACAGCCAGGGATCTGACCATTGCCTGTGGCTGCTCTGGCCGTCCTGAATGAGCCTTCCTCTGCTTCTTTGGGGCTGACAGATTCTCATGTGGGCATCCTTGGATACCGGTACGTTCCTCCCTCAGTACATGGCTGGGTCCTCACATTCATCCCTGAGGATCACCCTCCGAGCAATAGTTTCAGCATTCCCCAAGCAAACAAGAGGCAAGCTTGCATGTCAAGGGGGCTTTGCGGGGCCCTGATTGCTTCATGATTGTACTGATTGTCTGGTGGGATATGGTGGCCCTTCCTACCACAGGGGGGCATAGGTGGGTGGAGTGACAGTGCACACATTCCCCGGTGGTCCACACCTGATCTCTGTTCATCTGGCTCAGGGAGGTGCAGGTAGAAGCTGCAGGCAGAGCTGTGCTGAGCTGGATGAATTCCAAAAACTTCTGTTTCATTCCTTCACTGTCGACTTTCATTTTTATCTGTTGGCATATCTTGGTCTTTAGAGTTTTTAAACCAAAAGACTATATTTTCTCTTATTTGTTGCTCATGTTTTTAGATGTTGGGCAGTGGGGATAAAGGGGCATTACTGCAACTCTAATCCTCTGCCTTACACCAGCACTCACTGCCCCATGTCATAGGCAGTGATGCTGCATTTGTTTCTTCCAGAAACTCCACTTGGAAATGTTGGCAGACCAGCCACGAACCACCAAATACCACAGTGTCATCCTGCAGAATAAAGAGTCCCTGAAGGATAAAGTTATCCTGGACGTGGGCTGCGGAACCGGGATCATCAGCCTCTTCTGTGCACATTACGCACAGCCTAAAGTGGTGAGTGTGAGCATGAGCACATTCAAGGTGTTTTCCTAAGCAAGTGGCAGTTAGGGTGGCCTCTGAGTGCGAGGACATTCAACTACTGTGTTTTGGGGACTCTGATGGTTCGATGAAATAGCAACATGTTCAAACTGTGTGTGTGAGGCAGTTTAATGAGTCGCAAACAGCATGGAGTGTATAAGACAGGGTAGAAAATATCCAAGTAAGTTGCATGGGACAGGAAATGTTCTGAGACGTTTATTTAAGTTAAACGAAGAAGCAGGGGCACCTGTGTATCTGTGCTGGGCTGTGTGTTTGGTAGACCCACCCGAGCACTGAGGCCTTGCAGGGAGGAGATGGATGCTGGTGCTGGACTTTCTCCTCCCCACCCCTTTAGGCCTGTTTGTGCTGGGCTGGGCTGCAACTTGGGAGGCCCCTGACATGGGGACAAGGTCCCTGCACAGTGACCACTGAGTCCAGACTGCTGGTCCAGGACTCAACTATCCACCAGATCCTTCTCTGGAACCTGAATGTGAAATGGTCTTGCAGGCCTCAGTTGGGTGCCGGGGGCCTGCACAGGTGCACAGTTGTGTTTGCTGCAGGTGTTGAAGCCTCTGGGGAGTGTGAAGTTTCTGTTCACCTGCAGCCCTGCATCTGCATTTTCTGCAGGAGGTGGGGAGTAGGCTCTGCAAGCAATCTGGAGGGGCGGAGTTGTACCTATGGTGGATGGCAGGCACGGTCCAGCCTGTACTGTCTGGTGCTGCCCACAGTACTGCTTCCATCATTGCTGACCGTTTTCTCTGGTTGTGACTCAGGAAGAGAGCAGGTGACAGGAGCGATGTGGGCTGGTTGTGCTTATGGCACTTCTGCTGCTGCAGGTTTACGCGGTGGAGGCCAGCGAGATGGCACAGCACACAGGGCAGCTGGTCCTGCAGAATGGCTTTGCTGACACCATCACTGTGTTCCAGCAGAAGGTGGAGGATGTGGTGCTGCCTGAGAAGGTGGATGTGCTGGTGTCTGAGTGGATGGGGACCTGCCTGCTGGTGAGCAATTCATGGTGGCAGTGGGAGGGCGCAGGGCTTTGCATACAGGTGTAGCTGGGCTGGCATTGGGATCCTCAGGAGTCGTGATTAATGGACCACTTGCTTTGAAAACTGCAAATTACTACAGTTCACCTAAGATGAAATAGATAACCTGAATGATTCAATAACCAGTAAAGATATGAATTAGCAGTTAAACTTCCTCTGAAAGAGAAATCTCGGTTCTAAATGATTTTACCAGCACATTTAAAGAAGAAATAGCTCCAATTTTAAGCAATTCCTTTTAGAATACAGAAGAGGAGGGAACACTTTCCACCTCATTTTATGAGGTTAGCATTGCCATAATACCAAAGCCAAAGATAGTACAAAATATGAAGACTGTAGGCCAATTACATAATGAACATAAATATAAAAATCCTCAAGAAAACATTAGCAAATTTGATCCAGCAATATTTATTTATCTATCTATTTATTTTTTAGCAGCTTAAAATAACACAAATTTATTAGCACACAGGTCAGAAGTCCTGGTATAGCATAGCTAAACTGGACTCTTCAAGTTTCACAAGGCCAAAATTAAGGTACTGTCACGGAAGTGCTTCTTTCCAGAACTTCTTGAGATGAATTTGGGTTGTTGATTGAATTGCATTTGTAGGTCCAAGGTCCCCATTTCCTTGTTGGCTTTCATCTGGGAATAGCCCTTAGTCCTTAGAGGCTTCCTATGGTCCTTACCCATGGCTCCTGTATCTCACAACCAGCAATAACACATGAAATCCTTCTCACTTAGGATCTCTCTGACTTCCCTATCTGCTGCATCTCTCTCTTTCTTGATCCAGCAATATTTAAAAGGAATAATAAAGTCCTACAACAATAAAAAATAGATTACCCTTGGAATGCCAGGCTGGTTCAATACTTGAAAATCAGTGTAATCTACCTGATTAACAGTTTGCAGAAAAAGAATCATGATTATATCAATTAATACAGAAAAATGGGAAGCTGCCTGAGGAAGAAGGGGGATACACCTCATTAACAATAGTGCCTGCATGATGAACATTTGTATATCTAACCCTGAATTGCACCCCACATCTCTAAAATAAAAAAAACTAAAAGAAAAAATTCAACATCAGTTCATGATGAAATCCTCAGCAGACAAAGGGCATCTACAAAAGCCTATGAAAGAAACCCACAAGAAAACTTCTTAAAACTAATAAGCGAGTTTAGCAAGATCAAAGAATGCAAGGTCGCCATATAAGTCATTTTTTTTATATCCTAGTAGTATATACTTGGAAAGAAATTTACAAAACAGTACCAGTTACAGTAGCTTCAAAAATATGAAATGCTTAGAAATCTAATAAAACATGGAAGATCTGAATGCTGAAAACTGCAAGATGCTGATGAAAGAAATCGCAGAAGACCTAAATAAATGGAGACACAGTTTGTGGTTTGGAAGGCTCAACATAGTAATGATGTGTGTTCACCTCATTGATCTGTAGACTTACAAAATTCCAAGCAGGAGCTTAAAAAATAGATACAGACAGGCTCATTCTAAAAGTTTATATGGAATATAAAGAAACTAGTGCTGTGGTTTTCCCCACCAATTTTCATGTTGAAATTTGATCTCCAGTGTTGGTGGTGTTGGGAGGTAGAGCCTAATGGGAGGTGTATTGGTCATGGGGCCGGATTACTCATGAATAGGTTAATGCCCTTTCTTGTGGGTGAGTGCATCCTTATTCTATTAATTCCCACAGGAGCTGGTTGTTAAAAAGAGCCTAGAGCCTCCCTTCACCCTGTTTCTTCCTCTCTGGCCTTGTGGTCTCTGCCCATGCCATTTCCCCTTCACTTTCTGCCATGAGTGGAGCCTGAGGTTATCACCAGATGCCCAATCTGGAACTTTTTCAGACATCAGAACTGTTAGCCAAATAAACCTCTTTTCTTTATAAGTTGCCGAACCTTAGGTTTCTTTTATAGCAATGCAAAAATGAACCAAGACAACTAGAGTAACCAATACAATTTTTAAAAATGAACCAAGACAACTAGAGTAGCCAATACAATTTTTAAAAATAAGAGTAAAGTTGGAGGAATTATACTACTTAAAGTGGAAAATATGGTCATTTTTTTTCATTTTAAACATATTTTTTATTTTAAAATTGTGGGGTACAGTTAAGGGTTAGGTTTACAAATATACATCGTTCAGGCACCCTTGTTGATAAAGGGGTGTCTCCCCGTCCCCAGACAGATATTGACTACCGTTATCCCACCTCCCTTCCCCTCCCTACCCCCTCCATAATTTTCCACACTGTCAGTCCTTTTCTTATAGTACTATGATAGATGTTCAAGGTCCACTATATGAGTGAGAACATATGATACTCAGATCTTTGTTTCTGTGAGAGATCACTCAGTATTATAGGCTCTAGTTCCATCCGGATTGCTGCGAAATTCATGATTTTGTTCTTTTTTATGGCTGTGTAGTATTCCTTCATGTATATGTACCACACTTTTTTAATCCAGTCCACTCTTGATGGACAGCATGGTTGGTTCCAGGTTCTTGCTATTGTGAACAATGCTGCGATAAACATACGTGTGCAAGTATCTTTTTTATAGAGTGATTTGAGTTCTTCAGGGCATATTCCCAGTAGGGGGATTGTGGGGTCATATGGGAGGTCGATATTTAGAGCTTTTAGGAATTGCCACACTGCTTTCCACAGAGGTTGCACTAGTTTACACTCCCACCAACAGTGTAGAAGTGTTGCCTGGAAAATAGGATCTTTTCGGCAAATGATATTAGAATAGTTGACATCCATATAAAAAAGAAACCCTCAACCTAAACCTTATACCTTAATTCAAAATTGATCATACATCTTAGTATGTAAAATATAAAACTTTTTTAGAATAAATCATAGAAAAGCTTCATGACCTGAAGTTAGGCAAAGAGTTTTTAGGTTATGACTAAAAAGCATGAGAGAGAGAGAGAGAGAGATGTTCAGCATTATTAGCCATCAGGGAGCACATTAAAGCCACAATGAAATTCACTTAGACCTACTGAAAAATGACTAAAGCTTGAAAAAACATTCTGACACTAATACCAAAGTCTGGCAAGGATGAGGAACAACAGTCATACATTGCTTGTGGGTGTGCGCCATGGTGGTGGTTCTTGTGTGAGTACTCACCACATGACCTAGAACCCCTTCTGGATATTCACCTTGGAGAAATGCAAGCTGTGTTCACACAAAAGCCTATGTATGATTATAGAATAATTATACTTGCTCTTCTTAGAACTTTAGAAAACTGAAAACAACTGAAGTGTCCTTCACCAGGATAACTCTGAACAGATAAGCTGGTGCATTCACACAGTGGAATACTCTTGAGTAGTAAAGAGGAGTGAACTGTTATATCAGACAGTTATGTGGAGGAAGCCCAGGGATATGCACTGAGTGAAAGACACCATCTTTAAAGGTTGCACACTGTATGTCCATTTATACGACATTCTCAAAAAGATACAACCTTAGGGATGAAGGCCAGATCAGTGACTTCCAGAGGCCAGGGATGAGGATATGACCACCAGAGAAGAGTGTGAGGAGTGTTTTGGGGCAGCAGAGCTGTGGTTGTGGGGACACAAAACCATGTGAGTGTTAAAGTTCATAGACTGTATACCAAAAAGGTCAGTGATAACTGGGAAAAAAAAAAAAAAATATATATATATATATATATACACACACACACACACATACACACACATAGTATGCTTGTGTGTGTATGTAGAAGAATACTTGAAGATAAACTGCAGAGTAACAGTGGTTTCTTCTGGATGCTGGATTTACATGTGATTTTTATTTTTGCTTATGCTTTCCTCCATTTTCTAAATTTTCCATACTGAACACATATTCCTTCTGTAATAAAACCTGCTTGCGATTATTTGAGAAAAGCAAAACCCTCCAATAGTGTTTCATTAACCTCAGGATGAAGTTCAGGCTCCCAGATGGCTGTGAGGGCCTCCAGCCTCAGTCCCTCTCCCTGGGGCTTCCTCAACTCCTTCCTGCTTTTGAAGCAAGTTCTGGTTCAAATAGAAAGTCTGATCCCTCGAGCTGTTGGGTTGCTCTTACTCAGTTGTAAACCTTACATGATCACTGGGGCTTCCAAGGGACTTGAATTGGGAGTGGTGCAGCTGCTTCTGACCTGAGCAGCAGCAAATGGCCAAGGCATGCCTGTGTGGTCTCGCAGGTATTTAAGGAGTGATTTCAGTGAACCTAAAGGATTGTGAAACTTCTGATACCCCAGAACAAATATATTTTATTTAACTGTTGGAACCCTGCAGTCCTTAGGGGCCCTTTCACAACCTAGTAGTTACTAACTCCTGAGTAGCTAAGATAGGACAGCAGTGATGATATCTCCTCACTGTTAACCCTGCTCCAGGTCTGAATTCTAATGGAATTTGATGTGACTTAAGGCTGTGAGATGCATTGATGACCAGTACATGCAGGCATTAAAAAAAAAACCCTCCAAGACATTCTCTCATGTGGTATGGCTGGCCTGGCCAGGAGTATTCTTGAGGCTAAGCCTGTAGAACTTTCAGATGGTCTGGAAGGTTCTGAATGTGGTGTGGAGAGGTCTGTGTAGACTCAGGGTCTCAGTGATGGGTCTCCGGTGTGTGTCTCCCTCTCATGCAGTTTGAGTTCATGATTGAATCCATCCTGTATGCCCGGGATGCCTGGCTGAAGGAGGACGGCATCATCTGGCCAACAACAGCTGCGCTGCACCTCGTGCCCTGCAGTGCGGACAAGGACTACCGCAGCAAGGTGCTCTTCTGGGACAATGCCTATGAGTTCAACCTCAGTGCACTGAAGTAAGTATCTGGAGTATGGCACCAGAGTATGGGACCTTCCAGTTTGTGGGTGGGCCCAGACCCTGGGAGGCCCCACATAATGGCTGGATAAATGATGGCGTACCTATGCTCCCAGATACTGAAGTCTGTCATGGAGTTGGAATAGTTAAGACAGTGTGGCAGTATAACAAGAAAAGAGGATGAGCAGAACAGGATAGAATGCATGGGACAGAAATCTTAGTATATGAAGAAGGTGCCATTGTGAATTAAGAGGGGAGTGAGGGCCCAGTCAGCAAATTAGCGTGGGACAGTTGATTAGCCCTTGTTCTTCTCTAACATCATACATCATAACTTAATTCCACAAGGACTTAAAAAAGTTTTGTGTTAAAACGCGAACATCAGTGACAGGAACCTGTGTTGGGCCTGCATGTCCAATCTTGGGTTGAGAAGTCAGCATCAACAAAGGATGTCATGGACCCTGCACTGCAGTTCATGGTATCTGATGGAGTCTGTGCCAAAAACCAGCAAAAACACAGTTGTAAGAGGAAATAACTAATTAGAGAAAGTTACTTACTGGCAGATCTTAGAATCAATTAGAAAAAACTGAACTCCAAATGAAATTATAGCCAAATCACTTGAACAGGTGAATTACAAAAAAATAAATAAATGAAAGTTACCAATAAATATTTGAAAAGTTGCAATATGGTTAGTAGTTAAAATGCAAATTAAAATAAATGCTGTTCTGCCCTCAAGATGAGCAAAGGTTAAATTAAACTGGTCTTCTGTGCTTGCTGGGTGCAGAGAGGGGCTGTTGGCCTGGGCTGCGACTGCTTACGAATGTGGCTGCTGGGACCTTAGAGGTCAGTGTCTGGCCACCCACCCAGTCACTGCCAGAGCCTCCTGCTCAGGAGTGTCCTTCCTAGTGTCATGGTGCGCTCATGTACATGAGAAACACTGGAAGCAAACAGCTGTCCTTAAGGACGTGTTTAGATTGCTTTATTGTCCACCTGGTAGAGTGCAGTGCTAAAGAAGAAACCATGAGTTTCTAGGGATATGTGATAGTATCAGAAAGTGTTTAAGAGATAGTAAAACTGGTAGGACAAACTGTTTATACAGAATGACTCCTGTTTTGCATAAAAAAATATAAATGCTTATGGAGAAGAAAAATAAGTGTATCACAATGCTAAGACAAGCATATCAGGAATTTGAATCTTTTCTTTACACTTGTCTATACTGTCCAGTTTTCTTATGAACTCAGTTATTTTTGTCATAAAATATTCAGAAATATGTACATACAATGGAATCTTTTCTAAAATAGTTTACATTTGCTATTTCACAAGTTACTGCTCTACTTAATTTTGTAAAAATTTCTGTGGTAAATAATAGATGACTTTATGGCAAGTCCAAGTGCAGCTTGTGATGTGGGTTAGCAAATGGGGTAATGTGCCGGGGACTATGTGGGGTTCTGATCTTTGTGTCTGTGTTAAATTTGTGTAGCAACAGCACAAACATTTCTTCTAAAATTCAGGCTTGAGTGGTCCACTTCAGTCCCACTGATTTATTACATTTGTTATAGAGTAACCTGCAGTAGAAGTTCTTCTTTTATTTGCTATTAGTAGAAGATCCACAGAAGTTGTCTTGAAATATCATAGATTCCAAAACTAGAGACAATGTGCTGCAGCCCTATATCTTTAAGATTATATGGGCAAATGTTGGTTTCCATGTGCTCAGATCCTGTAAATGAGACAAAAGGGATGTACCCCAGTTCCACAGGTGCTCTTGAGTGCTGTCCAAGTCAGACTCAAGAAGGCTCCCACATTCCAGACGGGCTGGGTCCTCCAGGGAGGGGAGAGGCACCCAGGGTCCCAGAAGCCTGAGGGCTGCTCTCAGGGTGGGCCCTTAGTCATCAGGACCCAGACAGTGGCTTAGAATTCCTGCCGACACAGAAAAGTTACTTACCGTGGCCATACTTGAGTGTTTTAAAGCCTGTGATGTTTGTAATGACTCAGAACGAATTGCGTTGACCTTTTCCCTTAGATCTTTAGCAGTTAAGGAGTTTTTTTCAAAGCCCAAGTATAACCACATTTTGAAACCGGAAGACTGTCTCTCTGAACCGTGCACTATATTGCAGTTGGACATGAGGACTGTGCAAATCTCTGATCTAGAGGTGAGGAAAGGATGAATTTCTCCCTCCTTACATTAAATAATGACTATAAAGCACTCAGACCCAAGCCTGGTATGTCGTAATCCTTCAGTGAATGCTAGGGGGTGTGAGTGTGTAACTGATTATTTTATTATACAGATAGGTGAATGTATAAAACCTTTTGTTGTTGATCTTTCCCAATGTATTTTTTTTAATGTTCTATTCTGTCTGTCACATTTTACATCATTTTCTTTATAATTTCTCTAGTATCTTCTATTATCTTTAGGTTTATGTTTAATATCCTCAGCATCTTCAATATCAAATAAATTATATTCCATATCATGATGGTATTTGCATTAAGATTTTTTTCCACGTGGTTTTAGCTACCATTAATGGCAAAGTTCTTACAACTCTATCCTCACGTCCCCATGTGCAGCTGCGTAGGGGTGCATGGCCTCGGGTGTGGGGACCGTGCCCAGGTGTCCCTGTGTCTGGGGATCTCTTTTGCCCCGAGTGTTGCTGCGTCCCAGGTGTCGCCTGTGACTCGGGTGTTGCATGTGCCCATGGGCGGTTAGCGCGGGATGGTGGCCTTTCTCTGGGGCTGTGCTGGGCTTCTGGCTGTGTCTGCTCCGCCTCTGGAGGGACCAACCCGTACTGTCTATACATGATACAGGCTCAAGCGCAGGAGCATCTGCGGGGCATGGGCAGGACAGTGGGGCTAATGAGGCCAAGTGTCCAGTGCTCCTTGACTCTACAGCCTCCCAACCCAGGATGGGCTTGTCAGGTGCTCTCCTGGGAGGGCCTTTCTGCAGGTTCTATGGTGCCAGGGGATGTGGGAGAGCATGGGAATGGGGGAATGCGTGGAGAAGAGTGAAGGGCCACAAAGTAGGAGGCTCCTGGTCCCACCCCTACCTTGGGGACCCTGCGCTGTCTTGTCATCTCGTCCAGACCCTGCGGGGCGAGCTGCACTTTGACATCCGGAAGGCGGGCACCCTGCACGGCTTCACGGCCTGGTTCAGCGTGCATTTCCAGAGCTTGCAGGAAGGCCAGGCGCCGCAGGTGCTCAGTACCGGGCCTTTCCATCCGTGAGTACCAGGCCCTGGGGCAGGGAGGGGCAGGGATTCAGGTGAGGCGAGGGGTGGAGGGTGGGGCTCACTGGGGGGTAGGGCTGTTGCAGGAGCGGCTGTTTTTTGCCTCTGCCTGGGTCTCACCCCCTGCTGCAGTCCCTGCTTGCCCCCCATTACTCCTAATGACAGACCTGGGCGTGGGATGGGTGGGCATCATCTTTATATCACCAAAAGGCTGCTATGGCTTCCCATGACCTGACGCAGGGTCAGCAGGACTTGGGGTGTTTCTTGGGACCAATTTCCTGCCCAGCAGCTCTGCAGGTGGTGGTGGTGCCACTGCCTCTGGGTTCGGGCCCTTCTCTTGGGGGTTGGGGTGGGCTGAGTTCCCCTTCCCAGTGGTGGGCAGGTGAAGAGGCCACAGCTCCAGGGAGGGTTTGATGCCCCTGGTCTGGACTTTGGGCCCTGTCCCCAGCATGTCCTATGGCGGCCCGACCAGGGTTTCCACCAGTCCTTCCAGCACTACCACCTGGCAGAGATGGGGAGGTTGGAGATCAGTTTCCTACCCAGGTATCTGTAGAGATCAGTCTCCTACCCAGGTAGGAGGCAGAGCCCGAGGACACACGAAGGCCTCGAAGGCAACTGAGAGATGTGGACAAAGATGTAGGAAAGGCAGCCCAGGAGCAGCTGCCTTCACTGAGGCTGACCAGCTTGGACCTTGGGGCTGTGGGCCTTAAAGCCCAAAGAACTTAGAGATGGTCCCAGTACAACCAATGTAGAGTCCTAGTGTTACATTCTCCCCATAAGTTAGGGTTGCTTTGCTCACATTAATTGTACCTCTCACAGAAGCAACTCCTTTTGGCCCTGAATCAGTCTGTGTACATCACATTTTAATTGCGGTTGCTAGACCCCATCCCCAACCTCCGTCAGAAGCTTGGACAGGAGCAGGGGAAGGAAGGACTGGGGACTCAGGCACCACATGGGGCCATGCCTGCGACCATGTGCCCCCAGCTCCACATTCTCTGGACCACCCAGGGTGAGCCATCTGCATCTCCTGGAGTCTGAACAATCTCCAGGACAAGTGTGATATCCGGAGTTGACAGTATTCACCTCATTATTGCAGCTTTGATCCCCAAGTGTCCCATAAAGACTGTTAAGGCAGGACTGGGGGTGTATCTGGCCCATAAAGTATCCTGAAAAAGTCAAGCTTTGTGTTCCCAGGTTCAGGGAACACTGCATGCCATCTGAGGGCCATGGGTGCTGTGTATTGTGTGGCTAGGGGCAGAACAGTGCAGAGCCCACCCAGGTCAGTGCCCCCGGGGGTCACATCAAGACTGACCAGGGTCACCTTCCGGGTAATGTATGCCCCTGTCTTGCAGCACCACGCACTGGAAGCAGACGTTGTTTATGATGGATGACCCAGTTCCTGTCTGCACAGGAGATGTAGTCACGGGTTCGGTGGTGTTGCAGAGAAACCCAGTGTGGAGACGGCATATGTCAGTCACTCTGAGCTGGGCAGTCACTTCCAGACAGGACCCCACATCTCAAAGAGTAAGACACTTAGTTATAAACTTGTTTCTTATGGATGCTGGTCCTCAGGGACATAGGTCCAGGTGGGTGAGCTATTGCAAGTGCCTGTGCACACTGGGGTCCTGGCACCACGGCCCATGCCCTGTTTGTATCACTTATCTAATCTTCACACAAAAAATGGTTGCTGTTAATAGCTTCATTTCCCATTTTACAGCCCAGGAAGTGGAGGGTTCTGAAGGCAAGTCATTTTTTTCAGGTGACATAGCCGTTCAGTGAGAATGGAGGTCCACAGCAGTCTGAGAGTTGCTCATGTCCAGAGCAGCCCCTGGGGTGGAGAGAGGCCCGAGCTGCACCCTGGTGCACCCTCTACACAGGCCTCTGTGGCTTTCAGGAGCAGTCAATTTGGGCTTATCCCCTAACTGTGATCTGACCAGCAGCCTCAGTTTCCATGTGTGAAACCATGTGGGAGTACCCAGCCAAGCTGGGGTGTGAGGTGGGGCTGAAGCCATGCTTACCCAGGCTTCATGTCTTAGAGACTGCTGAATATGGAATGCTCTTCTTTGGACTCAGAGAAAAAGTAATCAAATGGTTCTCCTTTATTTTTTAAGATTTGTGATAATCTTATGTTAAAAGTTTAAATGTTTGTTATTTAAACAAATTTTGTACCTGAATGCCATTCTCATGTCCAATATTAAATTATTAGGGCGTACTACATGTTAACCAGACAGACATGGTTTATTATTTGATTGACTTGTTCTCCTTTGTCTTTTTCAGGTTGGAGAAAAAGTCTTTCCAATCTGGAGATGACAGTTGATAATCTGGAAAGCGTTGTGCACGTCTTGAAGGAAGAACACAAGCGTAGCAAGATGTGCCTGGCTGCTAACACTCACTCCTGTGAACTTGATGAACATTCCCTCCACATCGACCCCTCCCCAGCCTGGCAGGTGGCGTCAGGGTCCTTCACAGACAAATTCTTGGACTCCGCAGGAGCTGCCGTGGCCACCCCCACTGCCCAGTGTCTGCCCTCTAGAAGTAAGCTGTGTTTCCAGGTGTTCACCTGTGGTGCCCACAGTGCCCACCTGTTGCTAGGTTGTGGCTCCATGTTCCTAAACTAGATCTAGATCTACACTTCTTGGACACATGTGTACCAGCCTGTGTACCCCTGTGACAGTGTCTGCCCACACCTCATGTGTTAGTGGTGTCCTTACTGCCGTCAGCCCATGCACTCATGCAGGATGTAGGATTGCACAGAGTTGTGCAGATGGTGTATGGGGGATACTGAACTGCCCTAGCTCAGTGTGGGAGCTGGAGGTAGTGGTGCATGTGAGGGAATCTGCATGGGATAGTACAGATGTATAGATGTCTTCCAAATAAGTTATGTATTGGCACATAGTACATACTCAATAAATATTTTTTAATGAATGAATGTTGGCTATCCTGTTTCTATGCATGTGCATTATTGTTATAAGCACAGGATCATATTATATGCATTGCATTGTCAACTTTTCTCAATATTGTGAAGAAACTTCCATGTCAGTAGATACATGTCTATATTTTTTTGTTTTTGTGTTTTGATTTTTAGTAAAATGTCATTGAAATATCAAGTATATCCTGAAGCCTAACTAGTCATGAGTATATAGAAGGTGACATTTCACAAAGTGGACACATATGTAACCAGCACCCAGGCACAAGATAGGCTCCTAAATACCCCTTCCATTTAGGACCCCCCTCTCAAGGGTAGGGTCCTGACTTGTAATTATAGATTACTTTTGCCTGCTTTTAAACATTATGTGAATGGAATTATACATGTGTATTATTTTGTGTCTGCCTTCTTTAGTTTGACATATCTGTGAGACTCACCCATTAGTTGTGGACAGTGCAGTTTACTTTTCATTGTAGTTTTTAGCTCTATAAATAGGCCAGTTTTGTGCCCTAAATCACATGGTGGACATTTGGATTGTTGCTGATATATAGGATTAGTGAGAATGTGGACATTTCTGTGTTTGTCTTTTGGTGCACATATGTACATATTTCTGTTGGGTATACACTGTATTACCAGGTTTTCAGAGTCAAGGAATCTAATTTTCCTGTCAGTTGTGCATGAGAGTCAGTGTCCTCATCTACACCTGGTATTGTGTTTTTCATTTAACCTGCTCTGGCAGGTGTGAGAGTTTAGTATGTTTTTCCCTCTTTACTAATGAGCTTCATGTGTTTCCTGCTCATTTGCTGGTTTTGAGGTGCTTGTTCAAGTCTTTGGCCCATTTTACTCTTAGGGTTCTTCATCTGTTTCTAGTTGATGATGTAGGTGTTCTTGATATAATCTGACTAGGACTCCTTTATCAGATGTACTTTTGTGAGTATCTCCTCCCATTCCATGGCTTGTTTTTATTGCTCCTTTTAAAGTACTTTGATTAACAGGACTTCTTAAATGTTATATTGTCCAATCTGAAATTGTATTTTCTTTCATAGCTTATATTATTTTCTTTTTTGTACTTAAATAAACACTCCAGCTGGAATTTATTTCTGTCATTGATGTGAGGGAGGGGTTAAACCTTTATTTTTCTCCTAGAGGTGGAAGCTAAGATCATGGATTTCAACCTTCTTTCTAAAACATGCATCAGAAACTCTGAATTTTCCTCTAAAATTGTTGTAGATGCAACAATGAATTATGATATATGATATATATATCATCAAATATATATATATATTTGAGACAAGATCTCACTCTGTCACACATGGCTATGGCTATAGTGCAGTGGCACAATCATGGTTCACCACAGCCTCAAACTCCTGGGCTCAAGCAATCCTCCTGCCTCATCCTCCTGAGTAGCTGAGACTAAAGGCTTGCATTACCATGCCCAACTAATTTTTGTATTATTTGAAGAGACAGGGTCTCACTTTTTTTTTTAACCTAGGCTGGTCTTGAACTCCTGGCTTCAATTGATTTTCCTGCCTCAGCCTCCCAGAGTAGTGAGATTACAGGTGTGAACCACCATGTTTGGCCATGTATTTTCAATATCATGGAGTTTCAGGGATTTTCTAATTTCTTTGGTAATGTATTCAATTGTACCGTGGGCTATTTAGATGTAAGTGTGTGGCTTAATTATATGAAAGGTGGGATATTCTAGTTTCCTTTTCTTATTAATCTCTGGCTTAATTCCACTGTGACCAGAGGACAAACTGAAGAATTCCAGTCCTTTGGAATTCATTGGAGCTTTGTTTTATGACTCAGTGCATGTTTACCTAAAAGAAGTGTATATTCTATTATTGAGTGCAGGGCTTCAATTACATAGCTTAGATCAGATTTATTAATTGTGTTGTTCAGATAGTTGGATCTTTATTGATGTTGTCTCCTTCTCTATCAGTTACTGCAAAGGAGGTTTTAGAGCCTCTGTCTTACTCTGCTCACTTGCCATAACAAAATGCCACAGATTGGACAACTTAAGCAACAGGAATGTATTTCTCACAGTTCTGGAGATTGTGAAGCCCAAGACCCAGTTCTGGCCGGTTTAGTCCCTGCTAAGAGTGCTCTTCCTGGCTTGCAGATGGGCACCTGGCAGAGAGAAAGAAGGTGAGTGCTCTGGTGTTTCTTCTTAAGGACAGTATTTCTGCTGGATGAAGTCTTTACCATATGGCCTAATTTAACCTTAATTACCTCTGTAAAGGCCATATCTCCACATTGAGGGTTAGATCTTCAATGTATAAATTTTAGGGGACACAGTTCATTCCATAGCTTTCTGCTCCTGGCCCTCCAAAATTTATGTCCTCACATGGAAAGTACATTTCACCTCAGTACCACCCACAGTTCTTATTCATTGCAATATGAACTTTAAAGTTTATAGTCCAAAGTGTCATCTATATATCATCCAAGTCATCTATGGGTGAGATTTGAGCTATGATTTGTCTTGAAGCAAATTTCCTCTCCAACTGTGAACCTGTGAAATCAGACAAGTTATGTGCCCCAAAATACAATGATAGGATTGCATAAGATAGATATTCCCATTCCAAAAGGGAGAAAGCAGAAAGAGGGAAGAGGTCACAAGTTCTAGGTAAGTCCAAGTGTAGGAAGGCAAATTTCATTAGATCTTAGAGCTCAAGAATAGTTCTTTGGTTGATGCTTTGTTTGTCATCACTATGGCATAGTGGGACTGTCCTGCTCACGTGGCTCTCTGCGAAAGCAATCCTACTCCAGAAGTACTGGGGGTGGTGGACATGGTCATCCTGGCCTGCAGAAACCAGGGATGGAAACTAAGGAAGAAATAATCTTGTTTTTTGGGCCTGGGCTGGAAGTGGCAACCCTAATGACCTCTGAACCACCTTTAGAGTCATTCTTTTTTCCTTGAAGAGTGGCACATGTTAGTAGCCAGATAACTTCGTGCTTCAGTCCTGTAGGATCCACGAAGTCTGATAGCCAGCCTTCTTTCCGGTTCACTTTTTCTATCCCCTTTAGTTCAAACTGGCAGTATTAGCATAGCCCCATCTCTACTCCTGGCTTCCACTGAAATGGCTCATCGGTCCTTGAGTTGCATCCATGATTCCTTCATCAGATGATGGCTCACCCTTAGTGTTCTCCTCAGAATTGTCCTAAAGTCCATATTTCGAACATGCTTCCTAAAGTTATTCTAGCCCTGACTATGACCCATCCAAAGCCACTTGCTTGTTCTGCTTAGGTGTTTGATACTGTAGCACCCCACTTCTTGGTACTAAAATATGTATTAAGGTTTTCCAGAGAAACAAAGACAACAGGGTATGTGTATTTGAGAAACTTAGATGGGAGGAAAACAGTCACCTTAGGTAGATGTGACCAGAGCGTGTCTGTAAAACATAGAGATCTACCAGAGAGAGAGGTTGCGGCTTCCTGAGGGTGAGATGGAGGCTGAAGCCTGGAGTGGTGGGTTCCCATAGGATTGAGGAATGCTTCGTCGTCTGTGATGAAGGGAATATGCTGGAAGTGTGGGCTAGTCCGAGACATATGAGGCCTCACTGGAGGTCTCTGTCCCTCTGTGCAGTGGGAGGGAATTTGCCACAGGCGATGAGGTACGTGAAGCTTGGGGAGGAAGTTTAGAAGAGCAGGAAGGTCATCCTCTCCAGCTGGCTCAGCCCAGAGAAGGAGCAGTAAGGCTGTTGCAGAACTGAGTTGTGGAGGCTGAAGGTGAAACAACCAATGAGCACAGGGTAGAGAGTCCCCCTGTCATCATGACCCCTTACCACAACTTACAGTTCATGTTCAAAATGGAGGGGAGTAACTGTACCAAAGGAGCAGGTTTCATTGCTTCTGACTTTGGTCTGTTTGTGAAGAGAAAGTCCCCCTAGCTGATCTTATAACAAGTTCTTGTTGCAACTGGTGACTGTTCAGAGGGCGGTGGTCTTGGCCTGGGGCTGCTGAGAGACAAGTCACACACCCTTCTCTCTGGTAGTGGCCACTGTGACTCCCCTACTACGCAGGAGCCAGGCCCAACACACAGCAGTGCTTAGTGTGATTAACAGCAGAAACAATAGCCAACACCATAAAACATCTCATTTTGTTCAGCTCACACAATTCCAACTGAAAAGTTAAAGTTCAGGAAACTTTTCACTCTGGTGCCACAACGGATGCACCAGATCAGCTGAAGACAAGAGCAGAGCTTTCCGTGGAAATTTTAAACAAGTGGGATCAGGATCCTAAAGCATTTTTTTAAAGAATTGTAACAGAAGATGAAACATGACTTTACCAATATCATCCTGAAGACAAAACACAATCAAATCAAATCATTGGCTATCAAGAGGTAGACCTGGTCTAGTCAAAGCAAAAGCAGACCAGTCAAAAGCAAAGTTCGTGACAATAGTTTTGAGATGCTCAAGGCATTTTGCTTGTTGACTTTCTAGAGGGCCAAAGAATGATAACGCCTGCTTATAATGAGAGTATTTTGAGAAAGTTAGCCAGAGACTTAGCAGAAAAACCCCCAGGAAGGATTCACCAAGAGTCCCTATCTACTACAAGACTGCTCATCAATCAAGGGCAGTTTTGTGACAGTGTCAGTGGGAATTTACTTACAGTCCAACTTAGCTCCTTCTGACATTCTTTCGTTTCCCAACCTTAAAAAATCTGTAAAGGGCACCCATTTTTCTTCATTTAATAGTGTAAAAGAGACTGCATTAACATGGTTAAATTCCCAGAACCCGCAGTTCTTTGGGGATGCACTAAATGGCTGATGTCATCACTTACAAGAGTGTCTTGACCTTGATGTAGCTTGTGTGGAGAAATAAAGTTTGTTTTATATTTTTAACTTTTAATTCCATTTTCCATAAACTTTTTGAAGTCCCATTATACATACAATAGAATATCATTTATTCTTAATAAAGAATGAAATTCTGACAAATGCTATTAAGGAGGAACCTTGAGAATACTGTGCTAAGTAAAATAAGCCAGTTACAGAAAGACAATTA